TGAAACTGGGTAATTTTTAAGAAAAAATTTGTTTGTTACAGTTTGGAGGCTGGGAAGTCCAAGGTCCAGCGGGCACATCTGGTGAGGGCCTTCTTCTTGGTGGGAACTCTCTAGAGTCCCGTGGTGATGCAGGCCATCACATGGAGAGAGTGACAAGAGCACTTTTTAACGGGCTCACTTGCTCTCCTTATAAAGCCACCAGTCCATACCCATGATAATCCATTAAACCATTAACCCATTACTGCATGAATGGGTCAATCCTTTCATGAGAGCATACTCGTCATGATCAAATCACCTCTTAAAGGCCCCACCTTTTAACACTGCCACATTGGGACTCAAGCTTCTACATTAGCTTTGGAGGGGATAAACATTTAACCCATATCAAGCATTATACATTAGTTTTGCCTGTTTTTGAACTTTATAGAAGTGGACTCATACAGTAGATATTCTGTATCTGGCTTTTTATATTCACCTTTATGTTTTGGGGATTTATTTACCATGTTTTTCCTTCATTCTCACTGCTATATAATATTCCATTGTGTGAATATATCACGTTTACAAGGGTACTTCAAAAAGTCTGTGGAAAAATAGAATTAAAAGATAATACGAATCTTTCCATGTACTTTTTGAAGACCTCTTATATATGCATTCCACTGTTGATGGTCATGTGAGTTGTTTTGAGTTTTGGCTATTAGAAGTACAAGGGCACTGCTGTGGAGATTCTTAGATCCATCTTTTGGTGAATATATGTATGCATTTCTGTTGTGTTCTGGGAGTGGAACTGCTAGGTTATATGATGTGTGAATGTTCATCTTCTAGATGCCTTTTAAGAATCATTCCTAGTGATGAACCAAACACTATCATGGGGGCATGCAGCCAATAAATAGGTTTTCCATCCTATCCAAAGACTCACCACTAATAAGGCTCAATGCCAAGGCTTCCAGTACTTGTCAGCTCAACATCTTCTCCAGCCCACCCTCTCCAATGGGTAGCTACCCTAGCCATGCCCATGCCCCACACACCAGAGCCTACCTGTGAAGAAAGCCAGGTAGCAGATATCCTTTTGTGATGGCAGAAAATTGCATTTCTATGGCCAGATGAGGTTCAGCTACTAGAAGCCTGTAGTGCAGGTGGAAGAAGTGTTTGGGGCTCTGGAAAATATCCACTCCACTGTGATCCACTTCACAGCCAGAGTTATGAAAGGAATCTATCAATAGATTAGTTCATCTGAGCTCTTCTCCTAAATTTAAAGCACCTAGTAGATACTCAATAAAAATAACCATACAAGTTTAGGGGCAAAAGAACCCTGTAATAGAATTTTGTGATAGAAATCTGCCTTTTAAGTAACTTTTCAGCAAACAGGAAATTTCTCCAAAGTAAGCACTTACAAATGCTATTTACAAAAGAAGGTTTGGAATGTCAATTTATGGTTTAGAGAAATGGATGGAGCTATGGAAACAGTTTCTCCAAGTATGTAGTCTATAGATCAGCATCAGCATAAGCGTTACCCAGAAGGTTAAAAGTTAAACATTAATTTTAATTAAAAATTGATTAATCAAATTAAAAATTTTAAAATATTCCAGGCCACACCCCAGAAACAGAATCTCTTGGGTGGGGCCTGGAAATTTTCATTTTAACAAGCTTAGGTGGTTCTTAGGCAGCCAAAAGTTTGAGATTCACAGCACCAACACCATGACTGTGTTGCATTACTCACGGTCTTCATGCTTTGAGGGGCCAGGAGCTTTTCACTATGGAGAGAGAAAATGATCCTATCAACCCGCAAGTCCCTCTGCCGGTCCTGGGGCAAGTTCTAATTTCTCGTTGCAAAACTCTTCAGATCCTGCCTCAAGTGGAGCTTGCTTCTTCCTGGGACAGCACTGGCTGAATTCAATTGTCCATACAGTTTTGTCTCTGTTGGGGATCATGCCCATGCCTTCTCAGTTGCCCCCCTTGTTTGAGACAGCCCTCTATGGCTTGCTACATGTCCCTCTGAATGCTGTCTGAAAACCTCCTTTGTCCTCACAAGCTGTCCACTTCAGAAGTGGTGGTGTTATTTTGAGGCGGGGTTTGGGATGCCATATAGAATAAAGCTATGATTGTATCAAAAACCAGAAGAGGATAAGCAGCGAACACAAACATGGAGAAGGCCTAAGCACACACTGTGCCAGGGGAGAGAATGAGAGAATGCTTCGTTGAGACTGCTTTGTTTCTGAGGTCTGGGTACTCACATACGGCCCTGACAGGAGTGCTAGTGAGGTTTACAGGATTCCAGTTCAGCAAACTTGCTGAATTCTGGGGCCCAAGGCTCTGTCTCCTGAAAGGTGCCAGCCTAAGTGCCTAAGATTCCCTAGGGATGGGGAAGGCCCCCATGCCGTGTTCTTGGGTTCTGGTGGCATTGGGGACCTTCCCGTTGTCACAGACATCCAGTGTCTTCCTCAGAGCTCATCCCTAAAAATCCAAGCTTCCGTCTATAAATTTCAACAACCACCACAGCCTTCTGCTCTGATACAGAAACTTTGCACGTTTTTTCTTCTCCACCATGTTGCTTTTGAAAGTTTTAGTAGAAGCATAGTCACACGCTTTGGGACACTTATGTTATTTCAGAGATGATTTCCCACCACAAGGAACACTGAAATACATACAACAGGAAATGGTGAATATGAACAGGCAGACCTAGGCTAAATTTGAGTGGTGGAAACTTTCTACCAAAATATTTTCCATGGAAGTTCACTTTCTTTAGTTTTGATGACTACCCACCGGATCATTGTGGCCAGATGCCACTGACCAACCAGGAAATTGGAAAATAAATAAATAAAGTGTTTCTTACTGCCTTTTAGGAACTCTGGTTCTTTTTTTTTTTGGTGGGAGTAGTACTCTGACCCAAACTAAACAAATGTAGGAGTTTGGTGTGCAGTATATTTAATTATGAAAACCCTGTGCTTATTTCATAAGAATAGTAGAGAAAACCTGACAGAGAGAGAAAGGAAGGTAATTAACATTTAGGAAGCACCTATTCCACACTGGCATTTTGCTAGAAACATCATCTCTAGAGAATGCCATATAACTCTCACAACCACCCATTAAGGTCAGTATTATTACCTGCTCTCCATCCTCCCAGTTTTAGGTTAGGAAACAGGTTTGCTGAGGTTAGTTAACTTGCTCATGATCACCTACTTGCAGGTGCTAAACAGGAATTTTTGCAGTTTTCCCCGGTGTCCTAAAGAGAAAGTTGTGTGGAGTCTTAATATCTCCATGATGTTAAGGTGGCCTGGTTTTTAAAACAAATAACACCATTCAATAAGAAAAACCTGTGTTATACACCTGTAGAACACTTTCTAGTTATATTTGTGCTAATTTATATTTAATGCTAATTCAGAAGAACAGATAATAGGGGTTGCAGTAGTTATAAGCCGCTCTTGAATATAAAAGTATTAATAATTTTACCCAACTCCAAGAGCACCAGATCTTGGCATTCCTGAGAGATAGATGCAGCATTTAAAGTTGTTTTCCCTAACCAAGGCAGGTCCAAATGGGGGAGATAAAAGATAACTTGAGGACTAAAGGTCCAACCCTATGAATTACACCAGGGAAAATAAAAGGTCTTCCAAGCTCAGTGAGCCTCTGATAGACATTTTTGGTTGGCTTCAACTCACTGCATTCTCCTCCTCCACTTGTTTCTAGAGAAAACAGTGTGGTAGAGACCTTAGGGAATCCCAACTTCAAGATTTGTCACCACCTTTCAGCAGGTAAAATTGGACAAACCTAAGGAGTCTGGGACTGGATAGGGAAAAATGTGCTCCCTCACAAGGAGCTACCCTACCTATTACTTTGCTGGGTGTATTGATGACTCTCTAATGACTTGGCCTTAGAAACAGAAGTGTCAGAGACAGGTAAGGTGGGAAAAAGGAGGTGAACTTACAACCCAGAGAGCTGGAAGTAACTCCTTGACTACCTGCACCACTCCAGAAAATAAAGCTGAGAATCCAGCTCAGCCAAAGGCCTGGAACGGAAGCACAAACGCGTGAACAACCCGAACCTCACGGTTCTTTCAAAAGGCTCTTTTGGTCAAGGTGTGTGTTTCCAGACATAACTCGTCTGTAGCGCCCTCTCACTGATGCTCTCTCTTGTGAGGTTTAACCTTACACAGACCCGGCAAGGTGGCATGGGGATCTCACTGGGAACTTCAGAAACCTCACACCGCCTCCTTGAGTTCCCTTCGAGGTTCCCCACCGGACGTCCTCTAGCTCCTCTGAGCCTCATAATCCTTTAAGCTATGCTTCTGATCTGCGTCGTAATTCCTTCTATTTTGTGTTATTTCTTCGCGTGCCTCAGGGGCCAGGAAACCCCGACTCACTTGCGGGTCCCCAAAGCCCCCAGCCCCAAGAGTGGCTGCAGGTGGGCGCATCAGTAAATGCGGGTGGAATGGAACAAGATCCCCCAACGTCTTTTTCCACTTCGATTTCCGTTAAACATTTGCTCCCGGGGCCGGGCCCCCTGAGAAGAGGCTGGACACTCGCAGGACAGCCGCCCAGGGCTGAGGGCGCTCTTCCTGCCGGCTGCGGGCGGGCGGAGCTGCCCGCCCCCCACCTGCCCCTCTCCCAGCCTCCCCTCCCCCCCGCCTCCTCCCTGCCCCT